CCCCAAAACCCCAAAACCCCAAAACCCCTTTTCTCGTCTGATTTATGGAACATTATGTTAAGAAGTTATCATTTCTGAAGCGAGCTTCAATGGAGATTTATATTTACCAGCTCTGTCTCCATCTTTATTGAACACTGACGAGTTCCTCATATCAGGGTCTCTAAACTTATTAGGTCGAGCTTCATCAAATATGTTTTGACTTGGACTTCTATTCAGCTTACTATCAAATGCTCCTGTGCTTTTCAAAGTATTCGCATATATTTTACGCTCATTATTGAACCCATCAATGTTTTGTTCTTTCGATGAATACATTGGTGCCACTTGAATAGCTCCTGTCTCTTTCTGTTGTCTTTCAGTGTCAAGTTTGCCGAAGAGTTTATCATCCAGTAAGTTGATGTCAAACTTGAACCTCTTGTCTTCATCTTTCATTTTCCGTGGCAACTTCTTCAGTCTTTTAACATTGAGTTCATGAAACTTGTCAACATCAAAGAAGTCATCTTTGATATCCATATTATTGATGTCTTCAGGAGAAGGAAACTTGAGCTTTTCTTCATCAAACTCAAGCCATTCATCCCTTCTGGTCCTGTCATCATCTCAAATGTCTGGGAGTTTCATTTCTTTCCCATCATAAGGAGCAAGAGCTTTATGCTTCTTTTTCCAGTTTTCAAACATTATTTGGTAAACATAGTTGTGTCTCAAGTCTTCTTGCAACTCTTGATCCTTAATTTTGTTCTTCAGTCTGTATATTTCTTCGAGATATCTCTGCTTCTTGACGTCGTCATTCTGGCCAGTATTTTTGAGAACCTTGATCCGATCATACAGGGCTCGTTCTTTTTCAGTTAAATCATTGGCTACTTTCTGAATTTTGTCATTGACTAAGTTCTCAACTTTGCCTTTGAAATCATCAGGAACATACTTGTCCCACCAGTCTTTTGAGTCACCTTTATACCATCGCTCCCATTGTTTCTTGAACTCCCAGTGTGTCTTCTTGTCGTCTCCGTACATCCAGAAAGGAGGTGGTTTGTTTCTCCTCCAAAGGTAAGGGTCCCAGTCCTGCTGTTTAGACCACTGTGGAGGTCGGAACTTGGCCTCGGCATCATTATGCCAATGTCCATATTCTCCACGCTTTGCATTAGGATCTCTCTTGCCTTTGTAAGTACCTAGCCTATCATGCCGATAATAGTCATCATAATCATAGCCTTTGTAATAGGGGTCGGAGTATTCATCATAATATCCATCATAGTAATAATTATCATACCTATTTCCGAACCATTTGCCTCTTCTACTGTGTCTTGAGCCATATCTTGAACCATGTCTTGAGCCATGTCTTGAGCCATGTCTTGAGCCATATCTTGAGCCATATCTTGAACCATGTCTTGAGCCATATCTGGAGCCAAGTCTGTTTCCCCAATAGTAGTCGTCCCACCAGTACGGATCGTCTCTGTACCAGTTGCTACCTCGATATGGAGACTTAGGAGGATAGTCTTTACCATAGAGATATCGAGCTCTGCTGATGTCTTCGGGGTTCATGTCAGGATGGAGTCTAAATTGAGAATCAATGCTTACTTCTTGTAGTGGTTGAATTCGAGTTGACTCAGTCTATCATTTTCTTCTCTGACTTGCCTGTATTTCAAATAGTTTTCGTGAGTAATTTCATTAGAAGTTCCAGGAACCACTCCAGAATCAGTTTTTATATATTCGGTTATGCTCTGACGCACAGGCGATTTTTCAGTTCCAATAGCTGAACCCCAGCCAGGGATATGTAAGCTTGGCAATGATTGTGAGCCATTAAGAAATATTTCTGGGGATGGGATAAACGGCTGACCTCCTGGCATTAAGAGAGTTTCTCCTGATATTGGTTGTCCATCTCCAAACCTTGGAGCATTAGTTAAAACTACATTTGTAGGGCTTTGATCAACCCCTGGAATAATAAAAGGATTTTGAGCATTTATTGTATTTATCCCATTACCTGAATTAATTACTAACGGAGTTCCAATATTAGATCTAAGGAACATATTGCTCTTATGAGGAGATCTACCTGCTACAATATTACCAAATTGATCCATAAGTGGGGCTCCTCCCCCTCCTCTAGATAGAAGTCTTCCGTTCCCAAGAGTGTTCAAATGCATGTAATCAAGGCCTCTGTCTTCAACCTTTTGTAAGAAGTCTTTGTTTTTATTTCTCTTGCATTTGTTGCATTAATTCGTCCCTATAAGTATGGTTCCTTGCGGTTGCAACATTAACATGCGCTGATGTTGCTAAGTCTCCTTGTACAACGGTACCATCATCAGTGAAGTGATACATAAAGAATATATTTATTCAATAAAGTTTCAATAATTGCTAAGAAATTGGGGTTTTGGGGTTTTGGGGTTTTGGGGTTTTGGGG